AACTACATAATGTGGTGTTATCCTGAACTATATACTGTGGTGTTATCCTGAACTGTATACTGTGGTGTTATCCTGAAGTATGTAATGTGTTGTTATCCTGAACTATATACTGTGGTGTTATCCTGAACTATATACTGTGGTGTTATCCTGAACTGTATACTGTGGTGTTATCCTGAACTGTATAGTGTGGTGTTATCCTGAACTATATAATGTGGTGTTATCCTGAACTGCATAATGTGGTGTTATCCTGAACTACATAATGTGGTGTTCTCCTGAACTACATAATGTGGTGTTATCCTGAACTATATAAAGTGGGGTTCTCCTGAACTACATAATGTGGTGTTATCCTGAACTATATAACGTGGTGTTATCCTGAACAACATAATGTGGTGTTATCATGAATTGTATAATATGGTGTTATCCTGAACTGTATCATGTGGTGTTATCCTGAACTACATAATGTGGTGTTCTCCTGAACTATATACTGTGGTGTTATCCTGAACTATATACTGTGGTGTTATCCTGAACTATATACTGTGGTGTTATCCTGAACTACATAATGTGGTGTTATCCTGAACTATATAATGTGTTGTTATCCTGAACTACATAATGTGGTGTTATCCTGAACTACATAATGTGGTGTTATCCTGAACTATATAATGTGGTGTTATCCTGAACTCTATACTGTGGTGTTATCCTGAACTATATACTGTGGTGTTATCCTGAAGTATGTAATGTGGTGTTATCCTGAAGTATGTAATGTGGTGTTATCCTGAACTGTATACTGTGGTGTTATCCTGAACTGTATACTGTGGTGTTATCCTGAACTATATACTGTTTTCTTATCCTGAACTACATAATGTGGTGTTATCCTGAAGTATGTAATGTGGTGTTATCCTGAAGTATGTAATGTGTTGTTATCCTGAAGTATGTAATGTGTTGTTATCCTGAACTATATAATGTGGTGTTATCCTGAACTATATACTGTGGTGTTATCCTGAACTACATACTGTGGTGTTATCATGAACTATATAACGTGGTGTTATCCTGAACTACATAATGTGGTGTTATCACGAATTGTATAATATGGTGTTATCCTGAACTGTATCATGTGGTGTTATCCTGAACTACATAATGTGGTGTTATCCTGAACTATATACTGTGGTGTTATCCTGAACTATATACTGTGGTGTTATCCTGAACTATATACTGTGGTGTTATCCTGAACTACATAATGTGGTGTTATCCTGAACTATATAATGTGGTGTTATCCTGAACTACATAATGTGGTGTTATCCTGAACTACATAATGTGGTGTTATCCTGAACTATATAATGTGGTGTTATCCTGAACTCTATACTGTGGTGTTATCCTGAACTATATACTGTGGTGTTATCCTGAAGTATGTAATGTGGTGTTATCCTGAAGTATGTAATGTGGTGTTATCCTGAACTGTATACTGTGGTGTTATCCTGAACTGTATACTGAGGTGTTATCCTGAACTATATACTGTTTTGTTATCCTGAACTACATAATGTGGTGTTATCCTGAAGTATGTAATGTGGTGTTATACTGAAGTATGTAATGTGTTGTTATCCTGAAGTATGTAATGTGTTGTTATCCTGAACTATATACTGTGGTGTTATCCTGAACTATATACTGTGGTGTTATCCGGAACTATATAATGTGGTGTTATCCTGAACTCTATACTGTGGTGTTATCCTGAACTGTATACTGTGGTGTTATCCTGAACTATATACTGTGGTGTTATCCTGAACTATATACTGTGGTGTTATCCTGAACTATATACTGTGGTGTTATCCTGAACTATATACTGTGGTGTTATCCTGAACTACATAATGTGGTGTTATCCTGAACTATATACTGTGGTGTTATCCTGAACTATATACTGTGGTGTTATCCTGAACTATATACTGTGGTGTTATCCTGAACTACATAATGTGGTGTTATCCTGAACTATATAATGTGGTGTTATCCTGAACTACATAATGTGGTGTTATCCTGAACTATATAATGTGGTGTTATCCTGAACTATATAATGTGGTGTTATCCTGAACTATATACTGTGGTGTTATCCTGAACTATATAATGTGGTGTTATCCTGAAGTATGTAATGTGGTGTTATCCTGAAGTATGTAATGTGGTGTTATCCTGAACTGTATACTGTTGTGTTATCCTGAACTGTATACTGTGGTGTTATCCTGAACTATATACTGTGTTGTTATCCTGAACTGTATACTGTGGTGTTATCCTGAACTATATACTGTGGTGTTATCCTGAACTACATAATGTGGTGTTATCCTGAACTATATACTGTGGTGTTATCCTGAACTATATACTGTGGTGTTATCCTGAACTGTATACTGTGGTGTTATCCTGAACTGTATACTGTGGTGTTATCCTGAACTATATGCTGTGGTGTTATCCTGAACTATATACTGTGGTGTTATCCTGAAGTATATAATGTGGTGTTATCCTGAACTATATAATGTGTTGTTGTCCTGAACTATATAATGTGGTGTAATCCTGAACTATATAATGTGTTGTTGTCCTGAACTATATAATGTGTTGTTGTCCTGAACTACATAATGTGGTGTTATCCTGAACTACATAATGGTGTGTTATCCTGAACTATATGCTGTGGTGTTATCCTGAACTATATACTGTGGTGTTATCCTGAACTACATAATGTGGTGTTATCCTGAACTACATAATGTGGTGTTATCCTGAACTACATAATGGTGTGTTATCCTGAAGTATATACTGTGGTGTTATCCTGAACTATATGCTGTGGTGTTATCCTGAACTATATACTGTGGTGTTATCCTGAAGTATATAATGTGGTGTTATCCTGAACTATATAATGTGTTGTTGTCCTGAACTATATGCTGTGGTGTTATCCTGAACTATATACTGTGGTGTTATCCTGAAGTATATAATGTGGTGTTATCCTGAACTATATAATGTGTTGTTGTCCTGAACTATATAATGTGGTGTAATCCTGAACTATATAATGTGTTGTTGTCCTGAACTATATAATGTGTTGTTGTCCTGAACTACATAATGTGGTGTTATCCTGAACTACATAATGGTGTGTTATCCTGAAGTATATACTGTGGTGTTATCCTGAACTACATAATGTGGTGTTATCCTGAAGTATATAATGTGGTGTTATCCTGAACTGTATACTGTGGTGTTATCCTGAACTATATACTGTGGTGTTATCCTGAACTATATAATGTGGTGTTATCCTGGACTATATAATGTGGTGTTATCCTGAAGTATATAATGTGGTGTTATCCTGAACTATATAATGTGTTGTTGTCCCGAACTATATAGTGTGGTGTTATCCTGAACTATATAATGTGTTGTTATCCTGAACTACATAATGTGTTGTTGTCCTGAACTATATAAAGTGGTGTTATCCTGAACTATATGCTGCGGTGTTATCCTGAACTACATAATGCGGTGTTATCCTGAACTACATAATGTGGTGTTATCCTGAGGTATGTAATGTGGTGTTATCCTGAACTATATACTTTGATGTTATCCCGAACTATGGCATACAGTGTTATCCCGAACAATGGTATACAGTGTTATCATGAACTATGGTATACAGTGTTATCCCGAACTATGGTATACAGTGTTATCCCGAACTATGGTATACAGTGTTATCCCGAACTATGGCATACAGTGTTATCCCGAACTATGGCATACAGTGTTATCCCGAACTATGGCATACAGTGTTATCCCGAACTATGGCATACAGTGTTATCCCGAACTATGGTATACAGTGTTATCCCGAACTATGGTATACAGTGTTATCCTGAACTATGGTATACAGTGTTATCCCGAACTATGGCATACAGTGTTATCCCGAACTATGGTATACAGTGTTATCCCGAACTATGGCATACAGTGTTATCCTGAACTATGATATACAGTGTTATCCCGAACTAAACTATGGTATACAGTGTTATCCCGAACTATGGCATACAGTGTTATCATGAACTATTGTATACAGTGTTATCCCGAACTATGGTATACAGTGTTATCCCGAACTATGGCATACAATGTTATCCCGAACTATGGTATACTGTGTTATTCCGAACTATGGTATACAGTGTTATCCTGAACTATGATATACAGTGTTATCCCGAACTAAACTATGGTATACAGTGTTATCCTGAACTATGGTATACAGTGTTATCCTGAACTATGGTATACAGAGTTATCCTGAACTATGGTATACAGTGTTTTCCTGCACCGGAGGCCGGAATCCAGATGTATTTCAGAGCAAACTAGCGTCCTGATTCTCACGAGAAAATCACAAATTTGAGAAAATGCATTCAGTGTTGACCTACATGCCCGTTGGAATGCCACTTTATCTTGAAGACGTGGGGTTTATCGTTGTGCATATTCTGTCCCTGTATATCCACAGCAATGACAGATGCGGTTCTGTTAAGTAGGAAATGGAAAATCACAGAAATGTGCCGAACAGTTGATGATGTAGTGCAAATGGAAATATGACAACTGAAACGAGAACGCCCATTTGAACCCTCATAACCCTAATCATCTTCTCGTAAACCATGATGAGATAGTTCAATTGCCCTGTTTATCGGGTCTATTAGCATGCCTCAGGATTTCGTCTTCACTGTAGGTAAAGCTCCACACCTGTTTTTGATATCGGAATAATAGAAATGTTATGTTATTTGGGAGGAAAAACTATTCGGAGTGCATTGCGCACTTTGCACCCATAAACTCCTTATGTAGGGGAAATAGGCTCCCACAGCGCGATTCATTGCTGTGGGAGCTTATGTCATTTATCATCTCTACGAAGAGTTTTGTCCAACCAAGCAGAAACGTTAATGGCATGTTTAGAATTTATGTGCGGTTGGTCCACAATTTCAAGTAATTCAGTCTTTTATCCAATGGATACCTTTCAGACGTTTGTCTGATAAATACACGTTTGTTTTCAGCATCGCTAGATACAAACTTACGCCAGGCAACAGGCGATCACGTATCCCATATGACGGAACGGATCAGAATGGGGATTGATGTCGACAATGGCTTTGAAGCATGGACGACGCCACATGGCAGGGTCATATCTCTCCTGGAACAGCCTCTCTGTATACCACAAGCGTGTTAATGTTCAGAATGTTAACCACTTGTTTGCTGAGCCCAGTTTCGCCTCATTCTTTTGACCCCGTCATGATATAGCTGCAAATAATGTTCTTGCCGTGCAGTAAATACTCACACTCTGACACAAATGATAAAAACCGTTTTTAACTAAAACATCGAAACTAGTTATCTTTGGACTATCTTCAGCCTTGTGGTTAAAACATTCACTCGTCACGCCAAAGACCCAGATTCGATTCCCCACATGGATACAATGTGTGAAGCCCATTTCTGGTGTCCCCCGCGGTGATATTGCTGGAATATTGCTAAAAGCAGCGTAAAACTAAACTCATTCACTCTTATCAGCAACAATGTTCTGCTGACACTTCTGATTGGCTGTTTATGGTACATCTTAATGGAGGACTACGAATACTTGCATTTGTTTTTACAAGGCACTCTGCCAGAACCTGTCAAATGTCCAGCTGCCAAAGTTCCAACTGTACACAAATATTTGTATAAGTAAGTTATAATAATTCGTGTCAGTGTCCATCACGCTTGATAGAGTCGCGTGTACTCGAGCGGTCAATGGGTGTAATCAATCAATCCATAATTGATCAACATAACAGTTTGATTTCTCTCTTCTGTTCTTTTAAACTGACAAAACATATGTTTGCTTAATCTCTTTCTATAGACCAACTATGAATCAAGAAAAATAATATCTGTCACTTGTGGAACTTCAGTATCTCTAAGTGGCCTGGGGCAGATACAAGTGTACCTGTCGGGCGTACAAAGGTTATACACACCTGACAATGTCCACTCGATGTTCATACATGGAGAGAGGACATGTGCAGAGAGACAGCGACACGCGTCAAGAACTCGACTCTTCATCATTAAGGGGCGGTTGGGTAGCCTGGTGGTTGAAGCGGTTGCTCGTCAAGCCAAAGACCCAATTCGATTCCCTACATGGGTACAACGTGTGAAACCCATTTCCTGTTACCCCCGCCGTGATATTGCTGGAAAATTGCCAAAAGCGGCGTAAAACTAAACTCACTCACTTAATCATTGATTAAACACAAGAAAGCTCAATTATACGTCGAAATAATAAGCACAGTGATTTCTCTTCATTTTCATTTCTCCTTGAAATATAAGTATCTTATCCTATGCATGGTTGTGACAGTTTTCAATGATTGGTTACGGATTATGAGTTCAACATTTGCTTCCTGTTTTCGGAATACAGTTCCACCGCTTCTGAACTCTCCCCTGCCTGACAGGACATAGGGTCCTACACTACATTGTGTTTAAAACACGCAATGTACCGCCCTGGAATAAGCTACAATGGTTAACGTTGTCTCACTGAGCGAAGGAGGATCATGCAAAGACCTATTCTCTGTCCCATTCTTTCCCTGTCTTTCCCGGACAATACAACTGACCCAAGGCAAACTCACCTCTCTACTTTATCTGTAATCTCTTTGTAATGGACTGCATTGGTGGTTAAGGTAGACACGAATGCGGATCTTCTGCCTAATGATCAAAGCGTGCAATTCTCGAAACGGGAGAGATTTGCAGCCACAATGGGGAAAAAGACATTTATAATTCTGTTTTTATATCTGAACACGAAAAGTCTGATTATGCGAGAGTCTCACTCTATGAATGAAATGGTGAGAGAGTAGAGAGCTTTGTAGTAAAAAACATATCCTTTGTTGCTTCCCACACGTCGTTCCTTACATAAAGTACCTTCTCTGTAGCCAAACTCTCCTCTGTTTGTTTAGTACAGCCCCGGTATATTTGTTGAAATGTAATGTGCCACATGATTTGACATATGAATGAAGTAGGTTGGTAAGAGCGTGAGAATGTGATAATGATTCAAAACCTTGTATTTCATTAAACGCCATGATCAACATATTTAACTCCTGGGCGTGTTTCAAATGGATGTCAGCCGTTGCGGTATTCAGACTTAGACTGTATGATGCATAACCTTTTAGCACTCCCATTGAAGAACGCCATTGACTGTACTAAACGCTGCCCAATATTCAAACTATTCAGTAAATGGCACTTTCTTTCAACCCCGTCTGTACTGGATCCAGTAGTGTTCGACAGACAACAATTACTACATGAATCTGTACGATTAAACTACAAAATAATACCTATTGATTCAAAGGGGTAGGGTTGGATGGGATTCTTTAGAATAAATATTGTTTTACAGAAAATACGCAGAATTATGAATAGAGAAATTAAACTTCGTGAATTTAACATTATGAATTTATTACACGTATACGTCTTCTATTGTCTACCATATTAGGAAAAACATTTTAAATTGTTTAGCACTTTTAGATGTTGAGTAGAACTGTCTTGCAGAATGGAAAGCAATTAGTACTCCTCTGTCAGTCCAGGTTTCACACATTTAGCCAATTGTAAACGTTCCTTGTCACTAGAGCTGTCTCTCTCCAGGCTATAGGGTCCAATTCATATCAAACATGACTCGTTACTTTCTGAACAAGCTCATTTAAAAAGAAAACGTCCACTAAATGATTTTCTCCAGTGGCGACACTTCGTCAGACTGCCTATCAGCTATTGGTCGCTATGAGCATCTTCATCAGCGGGATGAGGGGCGCAACTCCTTGGCAACGCGTCCTCCTGAGGGAAACACATTATCGCATCCATCCTGAGACACTTGGAAGTGAAGGCAATCGAAGAATTGGTTTCAAGTCTACTTCACCAGAGGCTCCACGTCAGCAGATTCGGGGAACTTACAAAAGATGTGCAATTGCATGATCCTGAAATGGGGGTTTGGAAAAGTGAAGAGTGTGACGAGATGGGAGTCCGATGCTGTGTTGAGAATGTAAAGAGAAATCGATGTGGTGTTTAGAATGTAAGGTCAGCTGAATGAACAAGATGGCTACATTGAGTGACACTTCCGTTATTGGGGAACCATGATAGGGTTTCTGATGGCAGTATCTGGTTCCTCCTGTGGAGTCACAGTCATTCCCTTGTGAAACGCCAATAATGTGAAAACTTCAAATTCTCTATGAAACTTTAGTTGAAGTTTGATGGTGTCCGCTATTTAATCGTGTTTTCCTCGCCATTATACGGTTGGTCGAGATCCGACCCAGGGACTAGTTCCATAAAAACGGTCGTAACCGTTCAAGGATTGATGTTTATATATCAGCCCCATGATCGCTTTTCCGAACTTAGCCGAGAAGAACCTGGCCTGGGTGGTCGAGTTGCCTGAATGGAAATATGTCGATGGCGACTTTTAATTATAGTTTTAATTATTTGTTTTAAAATTACAATTATGTTTAATTTAACATTTTCAGTAAACATGATACAAAAAACTGCAGAAATTGTGAAATATATCAGCACATAATGGTCATTAATATTACATCTGTATCAAGGATATCTGTTGATATTCCAATCTTGACCAGGCAAACGAGTGACCATGCAATAACATGATTAAGCCTCCGAGGTACGACCACACACAGCCACTGAAGTCAATGAACCTATCACCTTTTCCTATTGCAGCTGATAATCGATATACAACTGGAGGAGGATTCGATTCTTCAAACATATGTAAATCAATGGAATAATCTCAATCAAATTCAATTATAATTCAGGTAAAAGATGCGTGTAGCACTTGAACAATGTTCTCGTATCAATTCGTGTATCCTGAAACTCACCGTAAATGCAACGATTTTCTAAATTGTCTAGAACTTCATGAAGGAGCTAGTGGGTTATTCCCTGTTTGGTGTACCTGTATCTGTGACAGATTTAATCAGCGTCGAACTATTCTTGGTCAAAAGTTTGACCAGGGTTACAATATTCTTAGCCCCAGTGAAGCTTTAGTAGGGCTTACGAAAGTATTAGTGATTCTGATTTCTGACGCAGTTCTCTGATATTGTTATTTTTTTCCCGGTGACTAGTTGATCATGACTTGCCTTTGGGTGTGTTTGTGATAATGCAGTGGAACGGCTGTTATGACTTATTTTTGTTATCATATTAAATTCATAGTTTAAGGTTACACAACACCAAATGTTTTTCCCATAGACTTCTATAATAGTAACCTTTTGAAATGTTTTAGATCTTAAGTAACCTTTATCCAGGCTATCAACAGCCATTCCAGGTACACATGGGTACAGTCAGGCCTTTAAACTACAATAAAACACACATTTCTGGCCAAATTGTCCGGCCTATTTTCCCAGCACAGGAAGTTGAAAACACATCAACCCCAGTTCAGCACCAAATGTCACCTACTGGAAAAATATCTGTACACACAAATTATAAGCATAAGTGATGGTGATAAAAATGACAGCACTAAATACTTAAAATTGTGGTCAGTTTTAATTACTGGATTGGATGTGCTTTTAAAAGCATAAACATCTTACACTGTTTCATCCAATCACAGCTGTCACATGTCTCTGTCTCTTCAGTTGTTTACATACGGCCAGCTCTCAGCTCAGGAGCATGTGATTCTGATTTAGTAGAGGAACCTTTAAAATACATAAATGCATCAAATAGGGTTCTAGCGGTCTGGCACAAAGTTCAACTGATTTGGCTACTACCATCAGCTCAGTGCATTTGCAACCTCTCCAACAGCGAATAGGAGTTTTCCCAGGTACCGCTGCTGCTAATCAAACCCCACCACCAGCGAGGCTGCACTGGGACCTTCTGCATTACCTGCAGCAGTGCAAAACCCAGGTACTTTCCAAATCGTCCATCAAGAGACTGGAAGGTACCCCAACCCTGGCACCAAGAGCAATGTGAAGTCGGACAACTTCGTACTTGGGGATGCTAGCATGACATTTTCGTAACCGTGGTCCGTACATTTACCATGTCATTGTCATGAACCTCGTCATATAAATATATACATAATCTTCTTTTTATATTTACGTTTCGACACAAAATCACCTCATTGTCGGTTTCGAGTGGGCAGTGACTGATTCTGAGTTGCATAAAAAGCCTTCTGTTTCACTTTTTAGGCCAACAGTTTTCATCCGAAAGACGGCATCATTAACAAGGTTGCTGTTCAATTCAAAAACGCGGTGAACATAAGGCTGTCTTCGGTAGTCATCGTTCAGGGGCTTTCACTTCAAAAAACATAGTACCATGTTAAAAGAGGTGATTATTGCTCTTACCTAGACTACCTGAAATAATGATGTTGTAAATCAAGTGTGGTTTTCTTC